AGAGAGAGAGAGAGAGGAAAATGAATAAGGGCAGAAGATATAGGGAGAGGAAGTAAAAGAAGAGAGAGGAGCGAGGGGGATGGGAGGAAGAGACGGGAAAAAAGGAAGTCAGGGTGAACGTCGGCGGTCGAGAACGAGAGAGATATCAGAAGAACACGGAGAAAGGAAAGCTGCAGCTGCTTAATGACCACCCTGTACATTCGTATCTCACTTGGATAGGCATTCCTTTTTCTTCATCCTTTGCAATTCCGCTCTACTCCCTTTTTCCTCCTCCCCAAGTTCTCGGCAGTGCCGGGCGCTGGGTGCCGCTGGGACCATTATCTGTAATTGCTTTCTTTAATTCGATGTTCGCTCGCCTATGTGGCGGGACAAAAAAATCCGCGTAATAAGTTAGAAACGGCTTAAGTGGCGCCCGGACGTATGGAATCGCGTGAAAGGTTCGAATCACCGTCACCGGGCTCGTCGTGCGTCGTCTCGCGCACGTTACGACATTGCATTGCGATTCTCGCCGTGCGGAAATCCCTCCGATCCTTTCTGCGCGAGATAGATTCGCGGTCTTTTTCGAAATCGATAGCCGCGCAGTTTCCCCCTCGCAGTCTCTCCCCGCGTATAAAGGTGATATAGGTGACGAACGTACGTAGAAACGGGATAGAATTCCGAACGGCGGTTGTCTTTTCGGGAGATCGATACCGGAAATAAATCTGGGCCCCGCCGCGGATCTCCGCCCAGGATCTCCTTTGGCTCGCGCTCGAACGCGAGATTCCTCAATTTATTTTTGAGCACGCGGACGTCGAGGTCGCGGCCGCCGGAGTCAAAAGTCACGCGGAACCGTTCGTCGGTATCGAGCGGCAAATTGATCGACGCCACGACGACCGTAAATCACTTCGCTGACAATTGATTCGGACCGTTTTACCTCGGGCCACTGCGAGAACTACTGTTTACGAGAATACGCGTGCACGTAACACTACATTGCGTCGCGTTGCGTCGCGTTGCGTGCGCGATGGTTGCGGCTTCATTTGCTACCGTGTTTAATGATACGCAACGTGACGCGCTCGTAACGTTTCGCCACGTTCTCTTTGCGTTATTTTGTACTCTCGTCTGCAGATTTTTACGCCTATTTTTACACTCGTGTTTTACAAATGAAAATAATTAACGGTCGATCTCTTCTTATTGTCACATTTGGAAATATTTATTTTTATCATTTGTATTGTATTTTACGAAATGAAGATTTAAATCATATTTTTTAGCTTTCATTTCATTATTAAATTTATACATTATTAAATTTTTGGAAAAGATTTTTTTTATTCAGAATTTGCGTCTCGCAATTATATAAATCTGAAATTTTTAGAAGGACGGGAAAACTAAAGCCAATGATAATTAAAATGATACTAAATGATAACTATGATTGCTAAAAATTGCACTAAATATGTATTTTATTTTATTAAAGTATTTGATATTTCCTGCGTTTTAATTAATAGAAATAAAAAGATCTTAATTTAAAGCTTAATTGCAGAAATGTATAACGTTAAAAATTACAAGGAAATTACCTGGAAATTTTTTAAAGTTTAATAGGGAAGAAAACATCTAACATTTTAATACAAACATCAATTAAATATTGACTTTACAGTATCAGGCAATATCGATTGGATAATTCTAGAATTTGAGAAAAACGAAATACTCGATACTCCTCGAAGTTAATTCCGACGGCGTTTCCTTGATAAGCAGCGTGATGCGCAATACGAATGTCTAATGGGGTGTGGTACGTTCGTCTCGTAACGTTGTCTCGGGAGTGGTGATCCGTCTTGCTTACCGCCCCGCGTCGTTGACACCACCCACCTCGAGAACAGCCGCTATCCGAATCATCCTCCCCCCGCCCGAAAGGCCCACATGAACCCACGATGACCTTGCGTCGATCCGTGTACTCGACCAGCACCTTCCGCTAATCTCCGAGAAATCGCGGGATGCCGGAATTGAGCTGGGTTGAGCTCGGTTGACTCCTCCTCAACGACGCTCCTCATTCGACCTCATGGCCGACTAAGTGATAGACGATACGCGATTTTTCATCCTGTCGTCGCGATAATCCAACCCGCCCGCGTATCGGACTATCGACCTGGTTAGGAATATTCTCGCGCGGGAACAAGACGGGAAATATTACAAAACTTTCGTATACTCACGCGCGCGCAATTTAACGGCCCGTTTGACGCGTGTGTCAATAACAGAACACGCGATCAATCGAGAATTCCAGAATCTCCTCCGATTTTCTTCGAATGACCAAGTACGATCGAACGGGATTCGTAAGAATCTAAAGTTACAGTTTTTTCGCGAGCTTGCACTTACCGGTTCGCTTCTCGGCGTCGCGATACGTGACCTCGCTGAGGATGACGGGTTGACTGCGACCCTTGGCGTTCACCGCGTAAACCGCCACGTGGACCCCGGCTTCGACCGAGGCCTCCAGCCCGGCCAGGGCAAAGGTAGGCTCGTCCGGGTTGGAGACGTTGTAGAGGGGCTGGCTGCTGGCTAGGTAGTCGACGTCGCCGTGATAAACCTCCAGGACGAATTTCTGTGGCAGCCCGCCGTCGTATCCCGGTACGCACTTCACCTCCACGCTGGTATACGTCTGGTTCGCCAGGGTGCAGTTGCGCACCGGAAACGGTTTCCCTGGAACGTGGAGTAGTCGATGACGGAAATTACAGAAGGGGCAGAAGGCAACGGTTTATACATCGTGTGACTTATACTTAAACGACCCTTCCGTTAAAAAATCCGGAGCTCCGACAAAAATGCTGTGAGAGAGAGAGAAAGAGGGAGAGAGAGGGACTCTCTCTCTCTTTCGCTCTCTCATTCTCCTTCTTTCGCGGCCGCGCTACCCCTCGGCACTAAATCTTTCTCAGCGACACGCATGACCGCCACTTCCGTCTCGTGACATTTTCTGGACACCTTGTACGCGTCTATACATCCGAAAGCGGCTCCACAGGTTGGCTCGGGCGTTCTCGTTTCCTCGGAAATCAAGCTCGGCGCGCGAGTGAAAAATGCTCGCGTGTCCACGAGTGGCAAAGATTTAGTGTACCAGGATCGTAATGGGCGTAGAGATGTGTTCTGCTCCCTTTTTCTTCCCGCACCTCTCCGAGTCCGCCCCCGCCGCAGCCGGCCACCACCGGAGGATGTGTCAGCGTGACACATCCTCCACGCCGTCAGGATCTCGTTTTCCCCCTCGTTCGAGAATAAAGGCACGTCACGTTTGTTTTCCTTTTGACCGAAATCAATTCTATCCTTATTAGAAGTGACGACCGAGAGAGAGAGAGAGAGAGAGAGAGAGAGAGAGAGAGAGAGAGAGAGAGAAGAGAGGGAGAGGGGAGAGAGAGTGAGTAAGAGTGAGAGAGAGAGAAAGAGGGGGGGAGAGGAAGAGATACAATAGGTTTTACACGCGCATTATCTTCTTTTATCTAATTTCGATATTCATTGCGCTCGTTTCGCGTTCATCACTCCGAGATTTCATTTGTCACGTCGTCGTCGTCGTCGTCGTCGTCGTCGTCATTGTCGTCGTCGTCGTCGTCGTTGTCGTCTTCTTTCTCGTTATGACTCGGATCTACAGGACGTATATTGAATCTCGACAATGCTTCGTTTGTACTTTACGCGCGCTTGTTCTCTCCTTGCTGGTCTTTGCCCTTCCGTTTCTTATGTCGCTTTGCCATGTAACTCGACAGAACTAACATTCGTATGTATCCGCCCTCTCGCGCTTGTAAAAGACCATGGATGGAGACAAATTCAAATTAGTTTTGCGGACAAAGAAGGACGGCTAATTTCGTCAAACCGGATGTTCCGCGAAATGGCGTGGTCTCCTTATATTTTTCCTCGTCGAAAGAATCAGCATGCCAACTACTACAAAACACGTGTAACCTGACTACGGGGCGAGCGAAAATATGTGCAGTTCATTTCTACGTTTCGTTGGCAAGGAAATGCATTGCAATAAATTTTTCCCAAGAAAAATTACTTACTCACGAGTAAGCAATAGCACGAGTGCACATTTAATGTATCCACGATGTCTTACGCTTCTTCTTCTCTTTTTTTTTTTTTTTAATTCGCAACTCGCCCCGCGAGACTTATCGATATTATTGATTTACGTTTGCACACCGTGATTTCTCGTCAGAGCGAAATATCCGCGCTTCATTCATGCGTTCGAGAAATCATAAATTTCGATACGTCTCGGAATTCCAATTGTACGCTTGTTCGATATGCGTAACGAGTGGCATCTAACGCGATCCTCGATTCTGTCGTGAGACTCCGTCCCGGAAATCCCGTCTTTTTACCCCGTTCCTCCACGCTTCGACAGGCATATTCCTTACTGAAATGCTTCGCGGAATGCTAACCGACATCAATAACGTCGAAAAGGGGGAGGGAGGGGGGTGGTGAACGGTGGGAGAGGAACGAGAAAGGATTCAACAAAAATAATATCATGCCATCGGGTTTACGGGTCGTTGGCATTGGCGGAGCACCGCGAGAGGGTTTCGATATCGAGGCAAAGGAGCGGACGGTGCGCGCAAGAGGAGGACGGACGATTTTATTTTTGGGATGGAGGGGGAGAGGGGGGGATAGGACAGAGTGGGAGACGAACGGGAGGGCGAGAGGCACACACCGGTGCCGCTCACAGTCGACGTATTCGTCAACGTCAATACGTCCTCGGCCGATCGCCATGTCAACGTCACTGTCGATCACGCACGGACGAGGGTGGTGAGGTCGGGGAGGGGGAGGGAAGAGGAGAGGAGGGAGAGGGAAAAAAGGAGAACGAGAAAACGCGAAAAAATTCGCCTGGGGATTAATGCCGATTTAACGCTCGATGATTGGTCGCCTCCCATTGTACTCGCGGCGATGATTCGCGGGAATCACGTCGCGCTCTTCCCTCCCCCCCCCCGCCCCGAGAGAGATCTCGCAAAAACACAGCGGCGATTTTACATTTCAACCGCGCATTTTTGGCGCTTTCCGGCGCGGCTCTCGCGCGCGATTAAAAATGCTCCTAATTTTACAATTCGTTCGGGAATTTATTATGAGGCGCCGCGCCCCGTACCGGCGAACACCTCACCCCTCTGTTAAACGCCAACGTTATTCCACGATTTCGAGCACCGAACGAAACGTCGAGTGTGTTTCTCCAAAAGATCGACGCCGCTATTTTAGTCATCTATTTATTTGCGTGTTTCTCCCGGATACACGGATGTGTTGTTTCCTCAAACACGGAGAAATTTTTACAACCACGTCGAACGAATGTACGTCGATCCGAGAAATTCAATAATTACGTTTCTAATGCGATAACAACGTTCCACCGACAAATATCGGTTTTAAATAATTACTGTTTGCGCAGATGCTCCCCTTCCTTTTTTTCAACTCCATCGATATATCTGAATTAACAAAATTATCTCTAACGAGATAAATCGCGGAGAAAATGGATAATCATCGATCGTTTCTGGTTATTCGTATTTGGATTCTAGCATGATTTTAATCTCGCGCATTTTTCTCCCTTATAGATTCCTTTAGATAGAAAAGATAATACAGGAAAGGCAGGACAAATCGCGATTCCACGCGATTTGTCGGCTAATGAACAGTTTGCAGTGTCAATACGTCGACGCTCGAACAATTTGCCCGAAACAACCCTCCCCCCCTCCCTCCTATCCCCTCCCCCAGAAGAGGACCGCAATATTTCGTCCTCCAAAAGAATCCCTCCATCGGGCATCGCCGCGATGTGCTTGTCTACTCACCGGCTGCTACCAGCTGAAAGAGACACGGCCTCGACTGGGTACCGACGAGGTTGTCCGCCCAGCACGAGAGGGTGCCGTAATCCAGCTCGGTGGACGGCGTGTATCTCAGCACGCTTACGCCGTTCGACTTCTCCATGGAGAACCTGCCGGGCGCCACCTCCAGGGTCTCGCCGCTGTTGTTGAATTTCCACCGGAAATTGTGCGCCGGCGGATCGGCCTCCACCTTGCAGGCGATGTCGAGCGACTCGCCCCGCGAAGCGCCGACCACTATAATTCGGTCCTCCTTGCACACCGGGGCGACTGCAAGCAGAATTATCGATTTGTACATACCAGCGGGAGAGCAGGCATACGAAAAGGGTCTCCTTCCCTCGCTGCTCTGGAGAGCCTGCAACGACGACGGTGCGGGGTGGTCCTTTGATGACCATCGCACCGTACCGTGTGGATTCTCTCCACCACCGTCGGCGTTTAGGATTCGCGAAATTTATAACAATCGGCATTTCCCGCGCGGGGAGTGGCATTCAAAGGGCTACGAAGCGTGAAATCTCGTATTTTCGCACTTTACGCGAAGTGGACGCGTTTTAATTTGAGACAGTTCGAAACATGACCGGACGCTTGATTAAAGTTTCGGCCGACAATAATCGGCAGGATGTCGTGTAGGATTTAAAATGTAGGATATGAAGTATGGGATTTAAGGGTTGTAGAATGTTTTACATTTTTCTGGATTGTAGTGCTGGAATTATCGATTTGTATGCGCTACCGAGAGGCGAGAGGATTTCTCTTCTCTTCTATGAGTTATGTGGTTTGCGTAGTTTATAACGCAATAGGATGGTCCTTTAATGATCATAATACTGTACTACGTATTTTACTGTGAACGGTGAAATTTGCGAAATTTATAACAATCAGGCTTTCCGAGCCAAGAGCGGAATTCAAAGAGTTATGAACATAATATCTTGAATTTTCACATTTATGAATCAGGACATACACATGTTCGACGATTTTTAATTTGCCGGCGAATGTGAAACAAGATTGTTACGTTAACTGCAATTTAAAAATAATAATAGACAAGTTTTATTGAAAAATTATTCACGGTTATCACATATGATGAATTTTACGATCGATACTAGAATTTATTGCAATTAATTAGAATTTTTGCGAAATATAAAATTAAAAGAATTAGAAATATGGAGTCTTAAATTTTCATAACTACGATTCAAAAAAACACAGTATTTATTAATTTAATTTGATAAAATGAGATTATTACAATAATCAAGTTTTAAAATAATAAATTATAAAATAAAGATTTTATCGGAAATTATTCAGTCGTACATAGTTACGCACATCAGTTCGTATTATAAATTTTATTATCGATGTTAGAATTCATGAAATTTATTACAATTAAATTATTTAAAACTAAAATTTCCACGAAATGTGAAATTGACAGAATTAGAAATGTAGAATTTTAAATTTTCATATAATTATGACTTACGAGATACATGTTTAATGATTTAATTGGATAAAATGCAAAATGAGATTATATTAATTTAAGTTTTAAAATAATAATCAATAGACTCTCTCTTTATTGGAAAATTATATTCATGATTATCTCGCGTGCGCATCGTACTAATAAATTTTACCATCGACGCAGAATTTATGAAATTTATTGCAATTAATCAAAATTTTTCGCGAAAGGTGAACGTTGAAGGATGTATGTGAGTATAGAATTTTGCATTTCCACAATTACGTTTCAAAACCCATGTCCGATGATTTAATGTGATGAAATGCAAAACCGTGCCGTGTTGCATAAAGTAAAGTTTTAAAATAATAATCGGCAGACGCGTACGTCGAGAGGGATGTAAAGTAAATATCAGCGTTGTTTCTCCTTTCTTACTCGCGAGAGTAAAACGCGCAGATTTCATTTGCGGATTACTGTTGTAAATTTCAAAATGACTGCCTTACGCTTTCTCTCCTCTCGCCTTCGGCCACGTCTCGTCAAGAGATTACTCGGGCGACGAGCGACGCGTATTAATTGCGCTTCTCGATAAACGTTATTAATGCTACGCTCTTTAGCTCGTCCTCTTTAGCCTTAGAGTACAGGGTTTTTATGTAGTGACGGCGCTTTTTCCCTCGCCGTCACCGTCTTACGTCAACGGCTCTCACCTCGCTTTGTCACGCCAGCCAGAAATTATCATGGCTGCGAGAGAGATAAAGTTTTTTTAGAGACACGATGGTTTCTCGCGTACGCGAGAATCCGGCGGCATTTATTATTAGGTGGCAAAAACGTTAATTGCCGATCGTAATCTCGACGAACGACGCGAGAGACCGCTATTCAGGAACGACAACGTTGTCCGAGTATGATTAGTCAAGTGACTGGCCGCGATTTTCGCCGGCCAAATTTCGAGAGAGTAAGATCGACGCGAGATCGAAAAAAAAAAATTCATTGCTGCAAATCGATTTATCTGTGACTCGAACGAATCGTCGTCGCTAAAAAAAAAAAGATGCTTTGCAAAAAAATATCACAGAGCTACGAATTCGTTTTTGTACATCAATCGCATTTAGCATGGGAATAATCGACCGTTACTCGATAACACCGTTATTTTTCCACGTTGCTCCAGAAATATCGAGCGGATCGGACGGGAAGAAAAAGATTTTTCTGTCGATCCGCCAAGCTCGTAATGGACGAGATAAAGCGACCGACGAGATATCTCTAGACAACGCCTCGCCGTTATCTGTATACGACGAAAAGTCTTCCGGTCTTGACGGTATGTCAATGATGACCTACATATCGCGGTTGCATCTGGGAAAACACACAAATGACAGCGATGTCGTAAACGGCAAATGATTCCTCCGACACGCCTCGGCGTTTTGTCACGCGTCGGAGGGAAGAGGAGGGTTGGGAGGAATTGAGGAGGGTGGCCGCCCTCTCAACCGCCGGTGGAATCTCGGTTTTATCAAAGCGAGTTATGCAAAAAAGGGTCTACCATCCCTCTCCCTCCGTCTTCCCGCGACGATATATATTTGTCCCGATTTATCTGCGTTTATCTACGCCTCTCTTTGTCTCCATCCGTCTCGCGCCTCTCCCCTCCCCTCCTCACCCCGCACAAGGAGCGGCGCATACGTATCT